AGGATAGATGCTGATCGAGTGTGGTCGTCACCCAGCTTCCCAGCGCACAGATTCCTTCTTAATGCTGTGGTATCAAGTTTATAAGCCTGGACCGTGATGAATTCACGAAGGTAAATGTCACTTCTGATACCACTTGGCAGCTGGCCAGGTATCGAGTCCCGATGACACTTCCGCCTCTTCAAGCCCATTTCTTTCTTTCAGACTTCTTTACTTTCCAGACACTCCTCTCAGCCAGCGGTGGCTTTGTCCCCCCCCCCCGTCCTCTACAAACCTTACCTAATTCTGTCCTTCTTCCTTTCTGACCACTCAATCTTCCTTTGTCCTTTCTTTCCTCCCCTATTTTACTTTAATTAACGATGGTGTTGAGTAGCTGTGTTGAACCATCTGCTAACCTTAGACCCTAAAACTGGGAGTGATCGTACACACCTGTGCTCTGTACCTGGGAGATAGAAACAGGGCTATCCAGAGCTTAGGGTTGTCCTCAGCTATGTAGGGAACTGGGGCTAGCCTGGTCTAAACGAGACCCTGTCTAAAGTTTCCTTTTGTTTACAACTCCAATTCATTTTTACTTGTGGAGAGTAACCATCTTGGGAATGCGAATCTCTTTGTTATGCTAGTGAAGGAGATCTGGGATGGGCAAGGAAAGCAGAGAATGAAGATGTCCCTTTGTGGACTAAAGCTCCTTGCTGCTCTGCACCCCACGTCCTTCCTGAGAGCAGGGCTTGGTCCTGAGTCTGCGTATGCTGTGTTAGTGTTCTCTGTGGAGGAGATGACCTTCTTTGTCCAGTGAGCTATGCTCACATTTGTGACGCCAGATTTTCACATTTAGAAATTCGTTCAGTAGTGTGGAGATGGAAGTTATGGCAATGTTTGGATCTGCAGCCCTGAAGAGATGGCTCAGCAGTTAAGAGCACTGGCTGCTGCTCCTGCAGAGGGGGCTCAGGCTCAATTCCCAGTACCCACATGGCAGCTCACAACTGTTTGTAACTCCAGCCCCAGGGAATCTAACATCCTCTTGTTACCTCCAAGGGCACCAGGCATACACATGATGCACAGACATATAAGCAGCAAAAACACTCATGCACATTAAAAAAGTAATAATAAAATAATTCAAAATAAATAAATAAACTGAGGTCCTAATACTGACTTTTTTTTTTTTTGACAGGGTTTTTCTGTAGCTTTGGAGACTGCCCTGGAACTCACTCTGTAGACCATGGTCTTGAGCTCTCTGCCTCCTGAGTGCTGTGATTAAAGATGTGCACCACCACTGCCTGGCCAGAATACTGACCTCTTAAAAAAAAAAAAAGTTTGGGCCGGGAGCTGGTGGCGCCTTTAATCCCAGCACTTGGGAGACAGAGACAGGTGGATCTCTGTGAGTTCTGAGGCTAGCCTGGTTTACAAGAGCTAGTTCCAGGACAGGCTCCAAAGCTACAGAGAAACCCTGTCTCGAAAAATAGCAAAAACAAACGTTTGGATCTGCATCCTGGAAGACCCCTTGAAATCATTGTTGGAATTGAGTTGGGTCTCACAGTCCATACAGATTTCATGCGTGCTGCTCTGGTCTTAGAGGAGAAAGACATAATGGAAGCCTCCCTCCCTCCCTTCGCCCTTTAAGGAGCCTGAGAAAATGAAAAAGGAAACGGTTGTTTCCAGGTGAGTCCTGGGCCCCTCATTTCTTATCTTAGGAAATGAAGGCTGCTTGGCTCCTGAAGACACCTGTCACAGAGTCTTGACTCCAAAGACACCTGCCACAGAGTCTTGGTTAGACAGGAGGGGTAGAACATGACTTCTGACCTGAGTATGAAGATGAGGTCACTGAGAAGTCCCAGGGCAGGTAAAGTTGAAGGGTGCCAACTGGGTGGGTTCAGAACCAAGGACAGAAACCCTGCCGAGAAGAACCTGCCAGCTGAGGAGCCGGCCTCTCCTTCCCTTTTTGAGCCCCTCCCACCTTTCAGGGCTATTTCAGAGAAGCAGCTACCCTTGGCTGTAGGTTGACTGGCTCCTAACACCTGAGAACTATAATAAACAACGACTTGGTTAATAGGAATCTCATCCTGAAGTATGAATGGGAGGGAGGCCTTCCTCCAAGGCCACAGCACGAAACCTTGACGGACTGTGAGACCCGACTCAACACCGAAAATAATTCCGAGTGGTCATCCGGATGCAGATCCACCTTTAGTATAACTTCCATCTCCACATTACTGAACAAATTACCAAAGGTGGAAATTCTGGTTTCACAGATGCAGGGAGTATCTCACCGGACAGAGAAGGTCGTCTCCTCCATGGAGAACACTAACACATGGGGTGCAGAGTGATAGGGACCTCTGCAGAACCTCCTCGCCAGAGGTTACCTGCTCCGCAACCTCCTGGAAAACTGGGGTCTACCTTGGAGCAAGTGCTATTAAGATCTGGCTGATTTGCATAAATCTGCAAACACAAGGGTTTCTCTGCTCTGATTGCATTGTATATAAAAATTGCTCACAGCCGAGGCAGAGGCAGGTGGATCTCGGTGAGTTCGAGACCAGTCTGGTCTACAAGAGCTAGTTTCAGGACAGGCTCCAAAACCACAGGGAAACCCTGTCTCGAAAAAAAAAAAAATTGCTCACAGGAAGAATGAGAAGGATTAATTCGCTCTCCTTACTCCCCACCCACCCCCCATGCTTAAGATCTCTGTCTGGCAACTTCCCCCAACGGAGTCTCTCAATAGCCACGGTGTCTTGTGGGCATCCTATGTAGCTTTACCTAGCTAATCCCTTCCATCTGTTTGACTCATGAAAGATTCCTGTGTGGCTCAGAGGGAGTAGTGTTTCATTTTTGTATCCAGGGTCAAAAGTCTCTGGAGCTGCGGCAAGAAGCCATGCCTAACGCCTTACTGACTGCCAAGGGGAAAGGACCTGACTTTGAAGGTGGGGGGTTGAGAGTGGTGGAGTGAGGGACTCATTCTGAAATGAAAGGAGTCCTGGGTCTCTAAGCAGCTTCTAAAAATACCATCTCCCAGCACTGGGGGAGGGGGAGGGGCAACTGAGCGTGAGGAGAATGACGAGAGGAGGGAGGTGGGGGGGATACAAGAGCCTTTCTTCAGGAAGGTCTGATTTCAGGGACCCCACCTACCTCTTGGAACTAGACAAGCCACACCTCCTCTTGCTTCCTCAGAGGGCTTCAGTTTCCCACAGTGTCTCAGCCCAGCCCTTCCTGATAATCTTTCTTCCCAGAAGCAAAGGAAACCAACCCTCCACCCACTTCTCCATTACTACTGTCCAGCAACTGTGTCTGTAGTAAGCAAGTTCTTTTGCACGCATGCACACACACACACACACACACACACACACACACACACACACACGAGAGGGGAGAGAGGGAGGGAGGGAAGGAGAAAGGAAAGAAAGGAGGGAAAGAAATAGATTATGAGAATAGCTTGTGAGTGACCAGTGATCTATGATGCCATGGATTCCTATCCATTCAGTGCCCAGGGGTATGGGATATGGCAGGGATGAGTTCCTCAGCACAGAGTATGGTGCCCAGGAAGGGTTAGCGGGAGGGATGAGGAGTGTGTGTCTAAGCGGGAGGGATGTACAGGTGCTGGGACCCCCCAGTCAAGTGCATAGGAGGCTCGCACTCACACTTCAGGCTTCTCTGGCTGTTGTAGCACTTAAAGGGAGAGGGGCTCTGGCCTCCCCTGAAAAGCCCCAAGGTGGATGGTGCTTCAGCCCCTCAAGTTTATTTCAAATGGTGGCACTCAATATCTGCTTCCTCCATTCTATGGGCCCCCAGCCCTTCCCACCCCCCCCCAAATGGTTAAACCTTCAGCTAGCACAAAAGTGACCTTCATTAAATAGAGGTCGTGTCCCACGTTTCCTTGCGGCTTCTTCAGCTCCGGCTGAACTCTTCCAGGACTGCTCCGCCTCTTTTTCAGGGACCTCAGATTCCCGGTGCTGCATTTCTCGTCATTCTCCTGGGGTGGGAGGAGTGGGGTGCTCATAGGGGACCCCCACCTTGAACAGACTGTGGATAGAGGTTGTGGGGTGTGCTGCTATGTGTATCGACAGCAGAAGCAAGAACCCGGAAAGCGGATTGTTCGTGCAAAATCTGCCACTGCCCCCATCTCAGCGTCCACATGGTTTCCCAGCCTCGGAAGCGGTGCGGGTAGGGTGGGACTCTGTCTCTGGCTTGACTCTCTTTTTCCAAGCAGCTCCTAGGATCGGATCCGTGCCTCTGTGTGTGTGTGTGTGTGTGTGTGTGTGTGTGTGTGTGTGTGTGAGAGAGAGAGAGAGAGAGAGAGAGAGAGAGAGAGAGAGAGAGAGAGAGAGAGAGAGAGAGAGGGGGGGGGGAGAGAGAGAGAGAGAGAGAGAGAGAGAGAGAGAGAGAGAGAGAGAGAGAGAGAGAGAGAGAGAGAGGAGGGCGGGAGAAAAAGGAGGAAGGATTGAACCATGAAACACTGGGAGCCGCAGACACAGGAAGAGGCCAAGGACTGGGAGACACCAGAGCTCCCTAGAGCTTCAGGTCAGGCTATCAGACTCGGAAACCCCCTGCAAGTCCTGGGAACAAGGGTGCTCCCAAGAATAGCTAAGAGACTGCATGTGTCGCTGCTTCCCCCGCGGACCGCCTCTCCATAAACCACGCCCACAGCGCCTACTTCTCAGGATTCAGAGAGCTAAGGTTTAAGGGTCGCTGGTCCACCGACGCCAGCTTGTCTCGCTCTTCAGCATCCCCGCTAGCTCTCAGGGCTGCCCTACCCCCACGGTTTGGAGATCTGCGGGACCCCTTGGTTTCCCCCTCCAGCTGGGCGATCCGCCCCTGGCCTATGAAACTCCACCTCCTCATTCTCTGCTGGCCGGGATTGGTGGTCCTCCCGCGGCGAGGCCTAGCGATTGGTCCCCACGGATGATGGTGACCAGCGAGACTCCGCCCCCAGCCGGCCTTGGGGTCTGGGGGCACTGCTCAGCGGTGCTGGGCTGGCAAGGCTTGAGCCGCCGCCGCACTGACAGCTCCGTCTGTGGACCATGGAGACTGGCGCCGGTCCACACCCGCTGCGCCTGTTCGTCTGCCTGATGCCACTCTGCCTCGCTCTGCTTCTGGGACCCGGGCGGCCCGGGACCGCCGAGGAAGGTAAGGTGGGTTGTGTCTGGGAGCCTGCGATGCCAAAATAGAGAGAGAGAGAGAGAGAGAGAGAGAGAGAGAGAGAGAGAGAGAGAGAGAGAGAGAGAGAGAGTGAGTTGGGGGGCTAGGTAACTGGAGGAAGGAGTGGTTGGAGAGACTACTCTGTTTGGGGGCTTGAAGCAAGCAAACAGCAGGGCGGGAAAGAACTGGAGAAAGATAGGAGGCTGGTTCAGCGATAGAGAAGAGAGGGGTATTGAGGAGCTTGGGTCTGGAGACCTAGAAGGTTGGGGAAGAAAGACTGAGGACCACAGGAGCCCGAGGCAGTTCAGGGGCCGTTGAGACGGACAGGCAGAATGATTGGAGGTGGGAGGTGTAAGGGCGGGGAGATGAAGGGAGCAGGGAAACCGAGGGGATGCGGCAAGACTCGAGCATGAGGCGGGATGAAGACAGAGGGGGCCTAGGGGACCGTGGTGTGGACAGCTGGAGTCTGGCTGCTAGTCATCCGGGCCGAGTCCGGGCGCTGCCCGAAGTGCTGATTGTGGAGCTGTCCGCAGTGCTGAATTGGGATCGAGTCCACCACGCGCGGTCCGCGTTGCGGAGGATTTGGGGCTGTCATTAGCGCCGGAGTCTTGCCTCTGCTCCCACACCTCTGGGTGCTGTACGCTCAGCTGAATCCAGAGGCGTCACAACCAGGTGCAGAACCCTGAGATGCTGGAGCAGACTCTGCCCGCAGAGTCTGTCCTGGCGCGGGATGGCAGATGCCTGACACCAGTACGCAATTCCCAAGCACTGGTGGTGATGAAAACCCAGCGCCCTGTCGGCGGCCCTGCCCACCGTCGCGACTACCTCTAGAACTAGTCCCTTTTGGAGGACCCCACATTGGAAACCCACCCCCTTTCTTAACAATCTAGGGAAGTAATTTTTCTGAGGTTTGGGGATGGTCTGGCTTCCTGTGTTTAAGCAGAGGGTTCTGCTATCCAGACCTGGGTTTCTCTGAGCCCAACCTATGAAAGGACGCAGGCTGCCAACCTGTCACATCCTGAGGGAATAAAGTGACTCCAAGCTTTTCTGGTGAGGAGGGGGTGGAGAGGGCCATGGACGATATGTGAAAGGACCCATGACGTTCTTTCAAACGCTGTAGAGGTGGCAGCCCCTGGGGAACGGTCTGGGTAGAGAAGCAAAGATTTCTGATGTTTCTTTCCTCTTGCTAAGTGGTCTCTCCACTTCATTTTCACCCAAGGCCCTGGGAGGCAAATGAAAAAGATTTTGGTCTCCTCCATGACTGGTGAACTGACCTTGCATCTGAGTGGATTTGGGGTGCACCCAAGAAATCCAAGACCCACAGCTAGTTGACAGCTTCCTCCTGCTGGTTGACAGTTAAATATAATTTGGGGGGAACTTGGGGAGGGTGAAGAGGGTCACTGACTTCTGTCCCTAATGTGAAAGCTGACCTTAGAGTATTTGCCATGGACTCTGTGGAAGGCTGAGAATGGCACTCACTCCAACAACAACAAAATAGGCCAGGTCCTAATCCCCAGAGCTTGTTAATGTCACTTTAAGTGGTAAAAAAAAAAAAAAAAAAAAAAAAAAAAAAAAAAAAGGACTGGCGATGGGAGTGGGAATTTTGACATGAAGAGATCACAATGGCCCTCATATGAGCGCAACGAGACTCGGAGCCAGAGGAGAAGGCAGCATGGTCATAGAAACAGAGGCTGGGGTCAGACGCTGAAGAGGGGAGAGAGGGCATAAGCCATTGGGTTTGTGGTCATTTGTCATAAGCCTCAGGGAATGAATACAGGTGCCTTCGTTAATCACAGTGGCTGCCCTCTCTAGCCTCCAGCTACTTGGGTCTTCTGGAGCTGTGCTTTGCTCCCCATCTCCTCCCGAGGCGATCTGTGGTGGACCCAGCAATCACTCCCACCCTCCTCCTCTAACAGTGTGGCTTTCTGACATCCGTTCTCCCCTCTCCTTAGTCATCCTCCTGGACTCCAAAGCTTCCCAGGCTGAGCTGGGTTGGACTGCACTGCCAAGTAATGGGGTAGGTGTTGAACCGTTGCTCCATCCCAAGGGTCCTCCAGTAGGCCAAGACTCAGCCAGTCCCTTTAGCACCCTGCGTTCACCTAGGATCAAAATGTACCACAGAAACTCCCACCCACGCTCAGGCAGGCAACCTTAGCTAAATGCAGTGGGCCACACACACAAAGATAGGTGAGTAGGAGGGTGGCTTGCTGGGAAGAAGTGGTTGGGGGGGGGGAGGAGATAAGAGAGAATAATAGGGGAGATACAGCTAAAGTAATTATAGATTAGGAAAATGTGAAGGAATTTAAAAATTGTCATTTATTTATTTATTTATTGTATTTATGTATGTGTGTATTTGTGTTGGTGCCACGGTGTGTGAACATGGAGATCAGGACCACCAGTTGGAATCCATTCTCTCCACACACCATGTAGGTCCTGGGGATCAAACTCAGGTCGGACTTGATGGCAAGTGCCTTTACCCACTGAGGTATCTCAGCTCAATGTTTCATTTTGTTTTTCAACCCAGGGTTTCTCTGGGTAGCACTGTCTGTCCTGGAACTCCCTCTGTAGACCAGGCTGGCCTTGAACTCCTAGAGATCCTCTTGCCTCTGCCTCCTGAGTGCTGGGACTAAAGGTGTGTGCTACCACTGCCTGGCCCCACGAAAGAAGTTTTCAAGATGTGCCACAGAGTTTGTATTCTCCGGAACCCTTGGTATCGAGCCAGAGCAGCTCTGCTAGAGAACACCAAGGCTTCAGCTGGTCAGTGAGCTAAATAAATGAGAGAACCAACTGTGTCTAAGGAGAGCAGTGTGAGCTGGATGGGAAAGTGCTGGGCATTGTCTCTCACACAGTAGGCTCCTGGTAGCTGTCGATTATTGACAGATTAAGCAAGGTGGGGGTGGAGTGAGGTAGAAAGGTCACTGAGCACAGCTTAGTGACTTCAGGTACCATCCCTAGCTCTGTCATTAACTCTCAGTGCCCATGCACTCAAGTGGCTCTCCCTCTGCCACCTCAGTTTCCCCGTCCACAAAAATAAAGATTGTAGCCGGGCGCACACCTTTAGGTGTGATCACAAGCAGATCTCTGTGAGTTCGAGGCCAGTCTGGTTTACAGAGTAAGTTCCAGGACAGCTACAGCCATTACACAGAAGAAACCCTGTCTCGAAAAACCAAAAAGGCCAACCAAAGAAAGAAAGAAAGAAAGAAAGAAAGAAAGAAAGAAAGATAGATAGATAGATAGATAGATAGATAGATAGATAGATAGATAGATAGATTTGGCCAGGTGGTGGAGGCACATACTTTTAATCCCAGTATTTGGAAGGTAGAGGTAGGCAGATCTCTATGAGTTCAAAGCCAGCTTGGTCTACAGAGTGAGTTCCAGCATAGCCAGCAATACACAAAGAAACCCTGTCTCAAAAACAAAACAAAATAAATATATAAATAAAAGAAAGATCATGCTGGTTTTCAGCACACGTGTTAAATTAGGATGATGCAGGGAAGATCAGTGCGGTCTGCAAGGACAACATGTAAATCCACAAAGTGCTGCATATTTTTTTTTTTTTTTGGTTTTTCGAGACAGGGTTTCTCTGTGGCTTTGGAGCCTGTCCTGGAACTAGCTCTGTAGACCAGGCTGGTCTCGAACTCACAGTGATCCACCTGCCTCTGCCTCCTGAGTGCTGGGATTAAAGGCGTGCGCCACAACCGCCCGGCTAGTGCTGCATATTTTAAAAGGAAAAGAGAAAGTTGGTGTGATAGTCTATGTCGGTAATCCTAGCACTCTGGGGCTGAGGGAGAAAGACTGATGTGAGTTTGAGGCCAGCCTAGGATATATAATGAGATTAAGGCTAGCCTAGGCTATGGAATGAGATCCTGCCAAAAAGAAAAAAAGAAGAAAGAAAGAAAGAAAGAAAGAAAGGAAGGAAGGAAGGAAGGAAGGAAGGAAGGAAGGAAATGGCTTCATGCCACAGGCCTGTAAGCCTAGCTAGCTATGTGACAGAGTGAGTTCAAAGCCAACTTGGACTACTTAGATGCAATGTCAAAACAAAAATGGGAAAGAGGTATGTGGTAGAGTGCTTACCTAGCAAGCCCAAGACCTAGGTTCAATCCCCAGTACTGGAAAGAAAATGGATTTGACTTGTCCCTTTCCAAAGTGTCTCCTCTCCCCACGTTTTGTCATATTTAGGGGCTTGTATGGTGGGGGTGAGGGGGTGGGAAGGCAGGAGAAGTGAAGAAGGTGGAGACGGGCCAGTGCTAAAGCTCCGAGCTCTAAGGTGTCCACCTCTGTGCTGTTGCCTCAGTGGGAGGAGATTAGTGGCGTGGACGAACATGACCGTCCCATCCGGACATACCAAGTATGCAACGTGCTGGAGCCCAACCAGGACAACTGGCTGCAGACGGGTTGGATTAGCCGCGGCCGTGGGCAGCGCATCTTCGTGGAACTGCAGTTCACGCTGCGGGATTGCAGCAGCATCCCTGGCGCCGCAGGCACCTGCAAAGAGACTTTCAACGCTTACTACCTGGAAACTGAGGCCGACCTGGGACGTGGGCGTCCCCGCCTAGGAGGCAACCGACCCCGCAAGATAGACACTATCGCCGCTGATGAGAGCTTCACGCAAGGCGACCTGGGGGAACGCAAGATGAAGCTGAACACAGAGGTGCGTGAGATTGGCCCCCTCAGCCGGCAGGGTTTCCACCTAGCCTTCCAGGATGTGGGTGCGTGTGTGGCGCTGGTCTCCGTGCGTGTCTACTACAAGCAGTGCCGTGCCATAGTGCGGGGCCTGGCGGCCTTCCCCGCCACAGCAGCTGAGAGTGCCTTCTCCACCCTGGTGGAAGTGACTGGAACGTGTGTGTCCCACTCAGAAGGGGAGCCTGGCAGCCCTCCCCGCATGCACTGTGGCGCCGACGGCGAGTGGCTGGTGCCCGTGGGTCGTTGCAGCTGCAGTGCAGGATTCCAGGAACGCGGTGACGTCTGTGAAGGTATCCAGGGCACCTGGAGGGATGGGATGGGGACATAGCATGCAGGTGGCAGGAAAGAGTGTGCCCTCTGTGAAGAGGCAGGAGTGGAAGTGGACAAGCCATAGGAGGAGCTGGGGGGTCAAGACCTTTTGTGCGGTTTCTAGTGGGCTTAGCCAAGACCGACTGGAAGAAGAGAATCTGACCCCCATATAAGGATATATTAGGAACCAGGTAGTGGCTTAGGCCTGTAAAGACCAGCTCTCAGATGCTGAGTCAGGAAGAGCAGGAATTCAAGGCCAGACTAGACACATAGTAAAATGTTGTCTTTAAATAAAACAACAACAACAAAAACAGGCAAACAAAAAAATAAAAACACAGAGCTCTGTATTCCAGGAAATATGATAGGTTCCCTTTACCAAAGAGATGAGTACCTGCCTTAGTTGTAAAGTTGGGGAATGGGCAGTCAGGATTGGAATTCAGGTTTGCCCAGCTCTGGGAACCTACTGCTCTACCATGCCTCCTTCATGTATAAGGAAAAAACTCCACAGCAGCTCAAACCTCAGGCTAGCATTATAGGGACTTCACCTTTGACCATATTCAAGCCATGTTGTCAGGGGCATCTCAGGGATCAAGGGTGGCAACTTGCACTAGATGGCTCCTAGGATCCCACTCAGTTTTCTGAAATAGAGTTGTTGTGACACTGGGGGTGTTTTCTGGGCCTCTGGGTCTGTGGGTTCGAAGTGGCAGGATAGGATGGGATCTGGAATGTGTGCGTTTAGTCAGAAACTTCAAAGGATGTACTCCCCACCCCCGTGTGTGTGTGTGTGTGTGTGTGTGTGTGTGTGTGTGTGTGAGAGAGAGAGAGAGAGAGAGAGAGAGAGAGAGAGAGAGAGCGTGTGCGCATTCATGAAGTACAAGTAGAAGCTAGAGGAAAACCCAATAGAATCAGCTCTATCCTTCCAGCATGGGTTCTGATATTAAACGCCAGTAGTCAAGCTGGACAGCAGTCGCCTTTCTCGCTGAGCCATCTCATCACCAAACGATGGACTTCCTAAAGCAGGCAATAGAAACAGGTCAGACACGAGCTCACATCTAGATGCAAAGGGGCAAAGATTTATTTTTTAAGTCATAAGGAAGAGATATGTGGGGCTGGAAAGATGGCTCATGGGTTAAGAGCACTTGCTCTTCTTGCAGAGGACCCAACTTCAATTCCCAGCACCCACATGGTAGTTCACAACCACCTGAAACTCCAGTGCCAGGGGATCCGACACCCTCTTTTTCCAGGCACACATGTGGTATGCAGACAAAAACCCATACATATAAGTTAAAATAACGTTGAAAAAGAAAGTAATATGTGCTACCCAGGGCTACAGAATGGTAGGTGACAGAGGTGACTGAGCTCGGTGTTGCCATTTCACCTGTTGCACTGACCAAAAATGACCCAAGGGAAGAAAGCTTTTAGTTTACAGGTCAGAGTCCATCACTGAGGAACGTCAGGGAAGGAACGCAAAGCAAAAGCCACAGAGGAAGACTGCTTTCTGGTTCAAATGTTTAGCTAGCTTTTTATACAGCCCAGGACAGTCTGACCAGGGAAGGGTGCCTCCCACAGCGGACTGGGTCCTCCTACTTCAAGACAGTTCCTCACAGACATCCCGCAGGCCAACCCGATCTGAGAAATCCTCAGTTGAGCCTCAGGTGATGCTTGGCTCTGACAAGTTACAGCTAACCAGGACACGTGTTCTCCTACTCACTCCACCATCCACTCAGATGAGCAGAGGATACCGGCTGCGCCGCACGGTTCTTATGTGTGTGAATGAACGCAGCCTCCCAATTTCTGGGAAACTGGGGTTAACATGAAAGAGGCAAGAACCCGAGCTCTCCCAAGCAACCCGTTCTCACGGAGACCTCTGTGCCTGTGCTACAGTGGTGTGCTGACATGATGTGTATATGCATGTGTTTCTGAGCTCAGCAGTCTTCTCGGCAGCCCCAGGGTCCATCGTAGGACAGGTTGTGGTAGGTGCTCAGTGGAGATGCGTTGGGGGATCGTGTGTCTTAGTTTCCTTTCTGCTGCTATGACAGAATAGCCTGACAGAAATAACTTAATGGAGAGTTTGTTTGCTTATGAGTCTATGTTACAGTCTATCATGGTGAGGAGGCCACAGAAGCAGGGTCCTGAGAGAACTGGCCTCTTTCTATACACAGGCAAGAGCAGAGCCCAGTGAATTGATGCGTGCCTGTTGGTGCTTTGCTGTATCTCTCCATCCTATACAATCCAGACACCTGCTCGGGAAATGGTGCCACCCACAGCTCCAAGGGGCCTTTAATGCTTGAGAGGCAGAGGCAGGAAGATCTCTGTGAGTTCAAGGTCAGCCTGGTCTACTTAGTGAGTTCCAGGATAGCCAGGGCTTTGTAAACAGACCCTGTCTCAAAAACAAAGGTGGTTTTTTTCCTTTCTACTTCAATTAACTCAGTCAAGACAATCCCTCACAGACATTCTCAGAGGCTAACCTTATGCAAGAGATGTGCCTAGAAATCTGTCTCCTAGGTGTCAAGTCAACAGTCAGTGCTAAGCCATCAGACTGTAGTTGTGACGTGTCCACAGAGAGCCCGGTTCTGAGGACGGGGAGAGTTTTCCAAAGGAAGGGAGGTTTCTCTTCTTGGTGGCTGAGACATTCTGCAGAGGCATGGTGACAGGAAGGAACAAAGTGGTTGGTACTAAGTAAGTAATCCAGTGTGGTTACTGCAGAGGGCATGTGGGCGTGTGAGGCGTGAGTGATGAGCTGGGAGAGGGGCGGGGCCGGAGTGAAGGGTGAGATAAAGATTTTATGCTTTAAGCCAAGGAGGAGGGAAGCCAACACCTTCAGATTTATTTTTTCAAAGGACCACTCAAGCTGCCAATAGCAAAGGAAGGATTGGGGTGGGAAGCATTGGAGGACGGAGGGAGGAAGGAAGGCAACACAATGGTCCGGGAGAGAGACCGAGAGTCCTGAACTGAAGTGGATGCAGCTGTCCTTGAGTGTTGAAGACGGAAGTGATGGGAGGCGGGGTGGTTGCTGACGGCCTGTTAACTCAGAACCTGGAGGCAGGAAGAACAGGGTTTAAGGCCATTCTCACCTACATAGTGAATCTGATGCTAGCCTAGGCTACGTGAGACCCAATCTCAAAAAGAAACAAAGAAAAATCCCTAAGAGGCAAGGTGACTCAACAGGCAAGAACTCTCCTTATGTAACCTATACCCAGCAAAAACGAATTTTCTAAAAGTGATTTTGGCTCATGCCTTTAGGCCAGTGGCTCTCACCCTTCCTAATGCTGTGACCCTTTAATACAGTTCCTCATATTGTGGTGACCCCAACCATAAAATTATTCTCATTGCTACTTCACAACTGTAATCTTGAAACTGTTATGAATCACAATGTAAATATGTTTAGAGATGGAGGGTTGCCAAGTGGTTCGTGACCTACAGGTTGAGAACCACTGCTTCGATCCCAGCAATTGGGGGGCAGAGGAAGGCAGGAATCTGTGAGTTCCAGGACAGCCTGGTCTACATAGTGAGTTCTAGGACAGTCAGGGCTATATAACAAACCCTGTCTAAAAATAAAGCAATTGGAGGAGGTATGCTGAGGGGTAAAGCGTACAGAGGAGGAGATAGCGCGGTGGTTCAGGGAGCTGAATAGTCAGAAGACAGCAGCCTATAGCACGGTGAGCACTCAGACATGTCAAGGGTTGGATAGAGTTCACTCGGTCTTGGCAAGAACAGTTTTAGTGGAGCAATGGAGAGAACAGGCTGCAGTCAGCTGAAGAACAAAGAACCCCGAGGAGTCAGATGGGTTCATGATCCAACTTAGGGATGTGACTGAGTTAGCATCCATGAAGCCCTGGGTTCCAGCCTAGTATCACAGAAACCAGACATGGTGGTACATGCCTATAATCCCAACACTCAAGAGGTAGAGACAAGAGGATCAGATGTTCAGTCATCCTTAGCAGCACAGTAAGTGTGAGGCCAGTCTGAGTTATGTGAGACTCCCTTACACACACACACACATGCATGAACACACGCGTGCACAGTCACTAGGAAAGACTAGCAGCCTGGATTTGAAGGGAGAAGAGACAGCATCTTCAGCAGGATGTTGGGTGGATAGGATATTTGGGTATGAACATGTTGTTTGAACAAAGAGAGAACTTTTATTGCAGACTAGAGACACTGTATAAATACTGGGTGGGGTGTGCAGCGGGGGTGGGGGCAGGGCAGTGGCATACCAAATGTGTGTGGGGAGCAATCTGTTCAAGAGGAAGGAGTGTTTTATTACCGACACGGGTTAAAATTGCTGACGCATGTTGCTAATAAAAAGCAGGACAACTTTTAGTCGGTTTTAGGATTGTTTTAAAATAGTCTATAGTCAGAGCCCTTATGCCTGCATGGAAATGGGCTGCTTTTTCTGCTCCTCCCACTAGTGACATCACTGGAAAGAGGCAGTAGAGAGGGGGTTGCAAAGACCAGTAGGGGAGGTGACAGATGGAATGTTGACTTTGGGGGGAGGGAGGTGAAAGGCAGGGGTCCAGAGCAGAGATGACGAATTATCCTAAAACAGAGGGTGGCTCATCCCCACCTTTCAGACTGCAGGAGAGGAGATGTGGATCAGAATGGGGGATGTTTGCGGTTTTCATAGCCAGATGTTGGAGGGAATTACCAACTCATGACCTCTCTCTGTGCTCTGCCAGGTGTGGAGGTGACCAGGCAGGGACAGTCGGATTCCTGTGTACTTTATAGTGCCTCTTTAGAGCCTAGAACACCTGGCTTGTAACAGATGATAAAACTGTGGGTGCTCAGGGACTAGAGATCTCTGGTTTGTGACATGCTCCCCGCCCCCAGGCTGAGACCAGATAAAAGTCATTTATAATGGTGTCACCCCTGCCCAGGGCAGTGGGGGAGTGGGGGGAAATCTAGGACAAACTTCCCAAAGGAGGTGCTGTTGGAAGCAGATTTTGGAGAACTCAAAGAGCCAGGAGGTAGAGGGTGTGGGACATCACAGGTCAGGATAAGAAGCTCTCCGTGATGTTCAGAGTGGGCATAGTAGGGGGCTGCTGGAGAGGGTTAGAAAGGGAACAGAAGAGGTCAGGTTTGCACTGGTACCTGGGTCGTGTTCCAGCTACCACAGGAATCAATGAAATTCAGCTTCCCTCTAGGGAACACATTAGGGTTGCAAAAGTGACTTATCACCAAATCTCTTGTGGGTCTGCCTGCTCCCTGAGACTATACAGATCACTTGGGACCCTTGGTGAGATGCCAGAGGTGACTCTACACAGGGCACCCAACTTGGGCTCTTCCTATGAATAACTGTCTATCTGGGAGCAAAGGAGTAGGAAGAGGGAGACTTCCCCATCATGAGGTATATGAGCTAAGCTGTTAAAAATGGTACAGGGGCAAGGCTGTAGGAGCTGAACTATCTGATCTCTGAATTTCTGACTTTGACATTGAAAAGAGGAAGGTGCTGGTTGTCTGTCTTTCAACACAACACTCTTCTAGACAATGCCTCTCCAAGTAGGGAGGACCACAGTTGCCTGTGATGGGGCCATGATGACCACAGCTATGACGTTAACCCTCTTCCACCGAGAGCAAGGCACCTCTACATTCCTCCCAACACCCTGAGTCTTGAGGTGGGCACTTGTCCAGGCCCTCACCTCTCTGTTTCAGCACACAGTCAACAGGCCACAGTCACAATTCCCATCTGACTGCTGGTGTTCTCAACTCAGTGCAGCAAAGCTAATAACCGCAGCAGACTTTCAAGTCTTGGTTTTGACCATGACCACACCCAAAGGCCCACAGGGGTAGTTGCCCTGGATTTTGCACTAAAGCAGTGGTTCTCAACCTTATGTTGTGATGACCCAACCACAAAATTATTTTCGTTGCAAACTCATAACTGTAACCTTGCTATGGCTATGAATTGTAATGTAAATACCTGTGTTTTCCAATAGTCTTCGGCAGCCCATGTGAAAGGCTAGTTTGAACCCCAAGGGGCCATGACCCACAGGTTGAGAACCACTGTGCCAAAGGAAAGACCCTGCCAAGCCCCATCTCCCCAGCTATGCCACAGGGGACTCTGGGCAAAATGGGGCCCTCCTGAGTCTAAGCCTTTCAAAGGCTCTTAATAGAGTACTTCCCAAGGCCTAGTCTTCCTCCCCGCTGTTGTTCTGTCTTCTCGGGTCTAGTCTTCCACCCTCAGCTAGACTGGAGGGAAGCAGCGGAGAGTCATGTGAGGACCAACCACAGCAGAGAGCAGGGGCCAGGAGCTACTGCCCCAACCCTGATGGAAACCTTTTTAAAATGGGCATTTGGGATGGGGAGAAGTATCGGTGGGTAAAAGTGCTTGCTGTGGCAGCCTGAAGAGCAGAGCTGAGATGCCCAGCATCCACATAATAGCTAGGCATGGCAGAGCTTGTCTGTGACCCCAGCACAGGAAGGGGGCAGCAAATCCCAGCGGCGGTCTGGACAGCTAGACTAGCTGAGGCGGTGAACTTCTGATTCCCAGAGACCCTGTCTCAAAAAAGAAGCTACTCAGAGGCAGAGAAAGACACTTGACACGGACCTCTGGCCTCTACATGTTCACAAAGGGCCACGTACACCCTCCCACTACACACAAACAAAATAGGACTTTAGAGTATGGTCTTGCCTATAACTCCAGCATTTAGGAAAGGCAGGAAGAACAATTCAAGGTTAACCCTCAGCTACACCGTCAGTTGGAGGCTAGCCTGGGCTGCAGGAGATTCTGCCTCCATCAGTCAGCCAGTTTGTGTTCACTGTTCCCTCCAGGGGCCCGGAAAGGGAGAAGCACTATCACTGTTAATGTCACTATGATAACAATCCATACAGAAGTGGATCGTACCAGGGTTTTATCTCAGTCAGTCCTCCAATAATCTTGCTGAAGTCGCAGTCTATGCAAAACTCAGAAAGATTAACCAATGCGTCCGAGACCAAAAGCGAATCAGAGGTGAACTCGGCTATAGACCCATCAGGCTACAGTCTGTTCTTAGGAGTGTGCTCTGGGTTAGGTGAGCGAAGGCCAGAGCAGCAAGGCTCCTGAGTAGTGTCACATAGAACTAGTCTAAGAAGCCACTGGAGCATTCTGACGGCTCCACCCCTCCACCTGCCCAGCTCTGCTTCCACACTGGCATCCACCGTGTGAGCTGGAAAATGTTTATGCTCTTACTGGGCACAGTGGATGGTAGTAGGAGAACGAACTTTTGGCGCATGCGCGAGTGCCCCCCTGCCTGCCTGCCTGCCTGTCTAAATGGGAGTGTGTGTCTGTCTCTGAGTAACGGGGACCTGTCCTTGAAGGCCGCACCCTTCTTTTCTCTTGCTCACTTTAGGCTGCTCCTTAGGGCCGTGTTGTCAGGGCTTTGAAAAGGGGGCAGGCTGGGGTGGGAAACCCACTAACCGCGGGGCATTGGGCATCTTAACCTCTCCCAGCCTCGCTTTTCTCTTTTTAACCATGGAGATGAAGTCAAATGTATTACCAGAAGTCAATTATGTCACCGTCCCCTGAACACACAGCATTTGTCAAGGGCCAGGTGAGACTGGGCTAAGAGCTGTCACCCCACTCTCCCCACGTTAATCCAGGAAAAACAGGAATGCAGGGTGGGGCGTGGTCAGGGAGGAGACTCCTCACCAGCCCTTTCCCATAGCCTGTCCCCCAGGGTTTTTCAAAGTGTCCCCAAGGCGGCCCCTCTGCTCACCATGCCCGGAGCACAGCCTGGCTCTGGAGAAGGCCTCTACATTCTGCGTGTGCCAGGACACCTACGCTCGTTCACCCACTGACCCGCCCTCAGCTTCCTGCACCCGTGAGTGCCCCTCCTGGCTGGCGGTGGGGAGGGGGTGAAATGGAGCCTTGGTAATTGGACTGGCAGGGCAAAAAGGAAGTCTGGGATGGGTCTGGGCACCCGGGGCTGGGGGAACCCAGAAGGATGGAGATGGCTCTGTGGGTGGCCATCTCTCCACACCCCTAACCTCTCTCTGGGCCTGGCTGGGATGTCCCTCCTCTTTTTCATGCCCTCTGTGCCGGTGACCATGTCCCCATCCCAGTCCCCTCGATGGTCCATGTCCTCGTCTCAGTTCCTAGATGCTCCCTCACATCCCCATCAAGGGCTACCGGCGCCCATACTGCTACCTATGCGGATACCCGCGTCCCGAGTCCCCATGCCCCGCGCGCTCGCGTCCCTTCCCGGCCGCACTCAGCGCCACCCCATGTCGCAGGGCCGCCGTCCGCTCCACGGGACCTGCAGTACAGCCTGAGCCGCTCCCCCCTGGCGCTGCGGCTGCGCTGGCTGCCGCCTGCGGACTCCGGCGGCCGTTCCGACGTCACCTACTCGCTGCTGTGCCTGCTCTGCGGCCGCGACGGCCCGGCGGGCGCATGCCAACCCTGCGGGCCACGTGTGGCCTTCGTCCCGCGCCAGGCCGGGCTGCGGGAACGAGCCGCCACGCTGCTGCACCTGCGGCCGGGCGCGCGCTACACCGTGCGCGTGGCCGCGCTCAACGGCGTCTCAGGCCCCGCGGCCGCCGCGGGAGCCACCTACGCGCAGGTCACAGTGTCCACCGGACCTGGGGGTAAGGCGGCGCGCCCCCAGTGGAGACAATCCCCCACTACCTCCCAGCAGGAGTTCCTTGCATGCATTCCCAAGGCTTTCGGGAACCCACGTGACCGCACCCCCTGACCCAGGTGGCGCCTCTCTGTGTCCCCCCTTCTCCCCGCCATCCCTTTGCTGACTCCACCCGCACACCTGGCCCTTGAAGGAGCAGGGACTCAGGCCAGGTCACAAGGCGACAGAGTGGTCGCCTTACCCATTTCTGAGACTCGACTGGGTTGAAAATCACCTTTGATACCACACCCTCCGCATCCTTGACATTTACTTCTGATTTGTTTCTCCTCTGGTGCACACTTTCAAGTAATCCCTCGAGTGCCCTCTGCAAGATGGATAAGCTCGCGCAGCGCGGTGGCTTCCCAGTCTTTCCTGTCTGATTGCAGTGTGACCCTTCTTCCCTGTTTTCTGTGACCCTACTCTGTCACTTGAGTTTCTAGCAAGGCTCGGGATGATTTTTGTTCTTTTGTAAGTACCTTGGGGGAATAGATGTGCACACACAGGAGTGTTTGAATAATTTCTTAGCCTGCTGATGAAAATGAAAACGTAACCAATATGTATTTCTTCCCATTCAGTCTGGCTGGAGCACAGTAGGCCCTTTGATTCGCTCGTTCTTTTTTCATTCCTGAGAAACTTCTCTTCGCTGCTGCTTTGAGTAGAGAGCCCACTGTATCTCTTAAAACGATCTCTAAGCCTTAGGTTGTACATCCATTTTCTGATTCTCACATCTTGTCACTTCCTTTATCATTTTTAGCTCTTAATCCTTTTCCTAGGACTTTTGAGAGAGATTTTCCAATCTACCTGGTTTTCTGGGACACTTCTGTTCTTTATTATCTCTATTGAGATCTAACCCTTGCTATTGCCTTCACTTTTTTTTTTTTTTTTTTT